AGCACCAAGATTCACTAAGGCTAGACCTTTACAAAGTAAAATAGCAAGCCATTCTTGTTGTGAAACACAAGAGCATCTCAGACAACAGTAAGAAAAGGACAACCAGTTTGCATTGATTTGTTAAGGTACACCCTGACTGAACTGTAGTTTATCTTTCTTTGCATGATACTCATTCTGGATTTCACTTTTACTGTTGAGAGGACATTGGTAAATAGAATTAATATTTGCCTTATACAGTTGAGCTAATGCTTTGCATCACATACCTCATCGTTTGGTTCAACCTCTTTCTACTATGGGTGTTTTCCAGACAGACTGCACAAATTTTTAATGTATCCGTTTAAAAAAATCTTTTTGTGATTTTTCATTCACTTCGTTCTTTGCACAATGTACTGATCAAACTCACTTTTTTTTAGCACGTGGCATTTTTATGTGATAGGGATTGCTAAGTTATGATTAACAGATTTTTTTGTTTGTTTGTTTCTTCCTGTAAGATCATAAGAGTGTGCAAGCACTCATATAAAGAAAAATGGTCATGCAAATGGAAAAAAAAATTCTGCATTTTCATTGCATGCTACTTTGAAACTAATTTCCTGTGTGAACGTCTCATCATGAAGGCCAGATGGAAAAATATGCTTTTCATTTTCATTCACTGAAATATGTGTGGATAACTATCTTTCAATATTTTTTTTTCAATTCTGTGTTGTCTGCATCACAGATTATTCACTTACTTACAAATTGCATCCTTTTGTTTGATTGTGTGTTGTAGCTTTATCCCCTTAACATGCAGTGTTGTCCAGCGCAGAACTGGTTCATGGGAGAGGCTTCTTTTTCCCACTTTTAGCAGTTAGAGCATTGGTGGTGCAAGGCAAAGCCAGGACACTGTCCTCTTCTGCTTTGATGCAAGTCCTTCTACACTCACCTTGTATTATGTTAATAGACTATTTGTTTGTTGTTCCTCTTCTCTTTTCAGCTCAGATCCTGAATTAATATTGCAATCTGTGCTCTTTTCTGTCTCCCCAAAAGTATTTTTTTATAATACTGTATTGAGGTTAGTAGTCAGTACTTGATTTAATGAACATGGATGAATAACACTAAAATTAAAATCATGTCATTGTTTTATTTGAAAGCTTGCCATTTATCTCAAAACTATTTCTTACAGTTTATGAATCCGAATGAGAATGGAACACCAGATCTGAGAGTCCAGCGTTATTTGCTGTTTGGAATTCTGTCTCACCACAACACATGCTCTTCCATTTTTGTCTTGTCTAAATGCAAATCCTAGTACAAAAAATAATTCTAATAGAAAAGGAAAATCTGTGTGGTTTCTTTTTAAGTGAAGATTTTAACAATTTGGGATGGGGCACATGGAGTATCGGGCTAGATTTTCAAATGTAGTCTCCTATTGGTTAAGATAACTATCAATAGGGATTTTTAAAGTTGCCTAAATTTCTTTTTGTATTGAAATTAATGCACTTCTGAGTGACAGTCTTTGAAACTCCATCCCTGTATAGCTGCATTTAAGGTTCTTAATTTATTTGTCCTGTGGTACTGCTATCATTGTTTTTAACTTTTTAACATCTAACTAAGGACGTAATCATATTGTCATATCAGTGAATATTATCTAGGGAGGCCAGTTTATCTCATTTTCCTTACTCAGGCTTTCTTGCGAGGAACGGTAAATTGTTTTATGGGGCTATCTAGAGTCTGTGGAGAAGGCAGGTTAGCGTTTGCCTCAAGGTTCCCATCGTGCTGAGAAGGGAAATTCTTGTCAGACTGTTAGTGATCCAAAGATGTAGTAGAGGGCAGAGGGGAGGACATTTGATCTCCTGACATGTTTGAGGATAACCGTTGCCTTTACGAATTGCTCAATTATCCCTTCATCTCCACAAAGACAGACCAGAAGGAGTGCTGGTTCAATATGTTCAAAGCTCCCATGCTAATGACCAGCTGCAGAGCGAGTATGGAGGGTGTTAGAAATGGTTGTTCTTACAATTCACCAGGGCAGGAGAAAGCACTGGAAAGAGAGCATTTTTTTTTTTTACTTTGCTCCACATCTAAATCTGTTGGACCCACTGAGCAAGGTAGGTCCACGGATCTCTCTCTGTAGGTCAGCAGGCTTCAAAAGGTAGCCCATTGCCCACTCCTCTGCAAGGATCAAAGTCTTGACTGGCCCTGTTGACAGGGACTGCTGTGCTGCATAAACTTCACTTCCTACCACACTTCAGTGGGCAGCACTTACGTGTGAGGTATTTGGGGAGGTGAGCACTTATGGGCAGGGGAAGTCCCATCCTTACCCTGTGCTCAACTGCAAGTATGTAGCGAAGTCCCCTAGAACTCAGTGCTGTCCTGAACTGAATTTGTACAGTCAGTAGCAAAACTACATAATTTCTCTGATATCTGCAGTCACTAGAGAAAACATTAGTGAGCAGATGAGCCTTAGCCAAGGTCTGCTATTTGCTGAATAGTTAATAGCTAAGAATAAGATGGTGGGGTTTTGTGGTGGAGATGGTATTTTGGGATTTGATTTGGGTTTATTTTAGAGGTAGTACTTTAAATGTAATGTTAAAGCTCAGAAAAGCATCCTTTAGAAACAGGAAATTCTGTGCCAGTTCCTTTCATGGACCTAGCTGCAGTATCTGCACATTTATGGTTTAAATCTTATTTTGCAGCCTCCATCACTTATGTCTGAAAGTCCTGTTTACCACAGACAGCAGTGATGGTATATGCTCAAAATGGCTACTGGACTGAAATTGTGTTCTCTGCCTTATACGGTAAAGCAATGGCAATATTTCCTTCTCTGGGCTTTGGAGCTCCATCACTGTACTTATAATCAGATATCTCTTGCTGAAAGTTATGAGACAAAAGTAATTCAAAAAGCTTCAGGCTTTTACTTGTTAGATCAAAGGATGGCTGACAAGATAGTGCAGATAAGTCTAACTTTTCAATTAACAATGTCAGAATGTTTCATCCTTTGCTGATTAATCATTGCTTTGGACCAAGTAAATGATGCTTCATCTGAGTGAATGAATATGGCCATATTTAAAAGGATTTAGAGAACTGTCTGCTCATTTAATATAGGTCATTTGTGAAGTACTGCATTTAATTATAAAGTGGATTATCATCTTTACAACAATGAAAAAAACACACCCTAGTTTTTAAAGAGAGACTGAGCTACAAATATAAGACAGATTGCTGGCTTGGCAAATCACATGTACTTAAAGACTGTGGAGCGGTGACTCTTTGGTTCCCTGCTTAGTCCGAGGCTGCCATGCCCGTGGAAATAGGACCCAGTGCACTGCCTTTTATGTGCCATTTTCCCTGGTGTCCTGTGCACTCGCTCCTTTGGTTATGTCTTACTCATTTCCAGTGCTCCTTTACACTCAGCAAAGGGACTGCAATCTTGTGATTAGCGTATGATGAAGACAGGAATGAGGAGTTGGGCAGTGACAAGCTGTTTCTTTGGGCTTTTAGTCACTCCTCTACTAATTTAAAGTATATTCGCTGTAAAACTTGAACTCCCCCTCTGTGTAATGAGAAAAGGAGTGTGTGTTTATTGAGTGCCTCAGATGCTCATTGTGTTATGAATGTAATGCTATTCGTAACAGATTTGCTGTGCTGGGGAGGGTAGCTGTGGGTTTGTAAGCTACAGTCCACACAGACATGGCTAAATCCGTTTCATCTTACTCCTCTGAGAATCTCCTTGGTGTTTCTATTGCTGTTCATGTGCATGAAGGATTTGGTGAACAGGAAAGTTGCCTCACAGACCAGAAGCCTAGGGAGAATTTCCCCCTTCAAAGAGAGATTACTGGCAGTCCACATGTCATTGAGCATCATTAGGTCTTTTGGGGGTTTATGAAGTTTGTCAGGATATTTTTAAAGTAATTTTATGGGCAACCAGTTCTTTCCAGTAAGGTTCCTTAGTGGACTTTTTTTATCCTTTTAAAGAAAGCACTTTAGTTTTGGGAAAAAGAAAGGGATGGTGGGAGGCCCCAAGTGCCAGGGTGATACTCCTCTGAGGTAAGCCACAGTCACTACGTGAAGCCAGCGGGGCTTAGCAAGTAACAGTGACCAGCAGCTGGCACCAAGATTTCTTAGTGCCCACCTACAGGTTGTTTTGTTTGGGGTGTGAAGTTTGGTGGTTCCTTTATGTATTTCACAAAGGTAATTGCTTTTATGCCTTTGTAAACTCAATATTATTTCACTTCAAGGCTTGGCCTGGCTGGAAGGAAGAGTTACTGTGTGTGTTGCTTTCACAGATTCAAATATTGACCTCAAAGCGTGTCGTGCTTTTAGAAAATGATAAAGCCTCTTTTTACTTTGAAAACAACTAGCATTACGTGAATTATGCTAACATTCACAGTTTATGCAATGCACGTTATGTTGAGACTTCTAAGGAATTAATTAATTTCTGTATGTTACAAAGTAGGAGGAATTTTTAATTTCAGCTTGGGTATAGTTTCACCATAAAATGCATGGCCGTTCTCATCATACTGTGATGCATACAATTGTGCAAGATGTGTTTTGAAAATAGCTCTTGTTTACAGGGTTCGGAGGTAGCTTTAAGCATAGGCACTACAAAGTCTAAATAAAATTTTTCTGCCTTCATGCTGCCCCTGTTGGTGATCAGTCTGGCAGAGCTTTACTATGAGGAAAAGTGCTTCCTGCAGTAGCTCAGCAACACATTAACATTCTGACATCACTTTTGGCCTGAAAGTTAGGAGCTGATATATTATTGGAAGGAGGAAAACAGTTAGGAAATACATCCCAGCTAACCTAACACTTTCAGGTTTTTACTGTAGCTTTGCAAATTCCGGTTTATTTGACTCTCCTCTCTGCATGAATGGCCTGAAATACCAAACAAACTCTGCTATGCCTGCTTGCTTTTTTATGCCTTCACAGAGTTCTCAATTCATTCTCTCTTGTCTCTCTCTCTCTCTCTCTGTTTCTCTCTTCTCTCTCTGTTCTTCTTTTTGGTGGGGTACCCTGAATCTCTCAAGCAGTGCAGGAGGCCGAACAGGAAGATATAAAGGTGGTAGTGGATACCCAAGCTCCGAAACCAACTAAAAAAACCAAGGCAGCAGCTGCAAGCTGTCAGACTGGCAGCACCAGAAAGGAGAAAAAAGGGAAACACAAAGGTTAGCTGCATGCGGCTGAATGCCAGATGTTGAATTGACTGCAAAATACTATTTTTTAATTATTTATTTATTTGAATTTCTGAAAATTGCCTGAAAGTCATTCCTTGAAATTTTTATGAGATTGAAAAATGTGAGTGACTTGGTCTTGTCTCGGCATGTACAACCTGGGAGTGAAGGAGGGCTAAAATTTGTAAACTGAGACTTTTCCAAAGGAGAGTGTTTGTTCAAATTGCAGAGGAGGAAAAAAGTACTGATGGAAAGATGCTGGTGTTTTTCTGCAGTGTTAAAGAAATGAGAACCATCTTACACCAATGTGGTTTTTTAGACTATCTGCATGTAATGTAATTTGGAGAAACAGCCTTAAATTGCAGTCGTTTCTGTCCAGACTCTTACTGAGGTTTAAACTATACAAATTAGAGGTTAAGTAGGCATTTTGAAAATCAATTCAACAAAACCAAGATAACATCCTCAAAAGGGTTCTTCAAGTTGTTAATTCAGTGTTACTCTATCCCACCTGGTCGACATATGGGAGGTGTTTGTACGAAAAACTTTCTGCAATGACTTTGGGTAAGATTAGGTAGACAAAAAAAATACACTATTGATAATGACAAAAGGGTAAGTAGAAATGACATTGCCATTATTAGATTTACTATTTGAGCTACATAGACTAGATGGAAGAAGTAACATGAGCCACTTTAGAAGTATTCAAATTTTATACATATATATGCACACTCACAAAAAGAGAGAGGTTTTTATACCACATACAGTTTCTTTTTATTTGATGGTGAATGACTTAATGAAATTAGTAAATACCTTTCCAATAATTTGCAGTTCTTAGATAAGGCCACTGTAACACTATCCTGCCTGGACTGTACTGTATTCCTGTCTGTGTATGTCCAACAGTCTCTCCATTATTGCTTAACTAAGAAAATAGTGTATATCCTTGACAAGTCTATTTAAAGATAGCAATGACTAATAGGAGTAATTATTGAGGTCAGAGTATTGGGGCTTATCTATAGGGATTTTGCAGGACTTGAGCCTACCTTATCAAAATCCTTTACACATCCTTTACATATTGCAGCTTAATTCTTGAGATCTGAATCTACAGCAGCTCTATGTCTGTAGTCCCTCTGGCTGCAAAGGAAGCCCTAGGTTAGACAGGCTTTAGAGTCTGGCCCTGGGGGTAAAGACTTCATTCATATATTTGAAAAAAAGATGGTGTGTGTCAATACCTAGGCTTAAAATAATACATAAAAGTCAAAAGTAAAATTAAGTGAATGTAAAAATTGTTGGCAAAAAAAGTGAACAGAAAGCTAATGTTTCTCAACTTAATGTAAAAAGTAATGCCACTCCAGCATAGTAATACAGATGCCAAATTTTATTTTGAAGTACATCTTGCTGAAGAGTAAAAGTTCTTTTACTAGTTTAAAAGAAAACCTGTCTTAGGTTGTAACTGAGCATTGTGTGGGCTAATACTTAAATCATGGTTACTGCAAAACCTTGAGGCTCTCTTTCATCTCATATAATGCCTGTTTTGCCTTTATGGGGTGTCTATGTCTGTACTATGTTCAGAACTTATGATATTGTGCGGGTCAGTTACAGTAGGTTTGATTTGACAAATTTGCATTGTGTAACACTAACGTGTGTATACATTCATACGTTTTCTAGGCAGTTTTCTGATGAGCTTTTGGCTAAAATATTCCATGAACAAAATCCTAGCCACAGGCCTTGTGAGGCACGTAACAAGAAACAGTAATCATTTGAGTGTGTGATTTCCAGGGCTGTTCTGCAGACACTGGTCACGTGCATGCTGGGGCTGCATTTGCTGGATAGCTCTCTCTGAACTCGTCCGCTAGATGTGGGCAAGTTACTCCATGAGGAGTGTGTGCTTACTGTGAAGGAGTTGCAGTTTTTTTATTCTCTCACAGCAGGTAGCACCTAGTATTTTTCTCATATGCCAATAATATTTTTGTTCATTTTATGAAAAATTCCCCAAACAGGCAAATGTTGGCATATTTTAATAGAAACAAGTTGTGTTAGTAAAAGCAATGTCACTTTATGTAGACTGAGAACTTTTGCATGCTGATGCTGCTCTATGTGTTGGAAACTACTATTGTTAGCTATAGAAACCTCGGCTTCTGCTGCAGTTCTTACTGCTCATCCTGCTATGCTATGCGTGGTCTTCCCTGGCCTTCAGCATTTGCCCATCAATTGCATCTTATGTTTGTTTCCATAGAGTGGAGCTGTTATTCATCAATTACACTAAAGAAAATTTTGAGTATCTCCTCTCCTGAAGTTTATGTTGATGATTAGTAACAAATCTCAAGTAACAAAGATCCCCGTCAGTTAAAGTATGTTCAGAGCGTACACTTGGCACCTTCTCATCCAGCTCATCTACTTTTTCCGCATACTGGTATTTAACTGTTCATTCAGGTATAATTTCACCCTAGGAATCATATCTAGTTTACCTTTGATAGTGTTGTAAACTTGGAGTGTTTGCAGGGGATTATAACTGGATTTCTAGTCTTGCATCCTTATTGAAGCTGCAAAATATTTTGTTATTGGATGAAAAAGTAAAACCGAATGCGACTTGAAAATTCTGGAGGGATTTTACTGATCAATCCACTACAGACATAGCTAATTTGTGTTACTTAGGAATGAAGAAGATGCAAGTGGTAGCAGAACCCTGTAGTGGAACTTGTATAATTCTTCAGTTACTTTTAAGAGTAAGTGTGAGTTATAAATATTAGATATATTTTATAATAATATATGGAACGGATTTGCTAATAACTTCAGATCTAACTAATGAAAATGGATGAAGGTTAAATGGTTTTATACCATTTTGTGGCACAAGAGGTTTTGTTGGAGGAAGTTCATTGGTAATTAGACCAAATCTTGGAAGTTTTAGGTTCTGCTTTTAGCTTTGCAATTGCTTCAGGTTTTGTCTCCACTCTGACTACTCTGACTGTAACCTTTGCATGTCTTGTAAATGAGCAGGGTGAATGCACTTTACATGCTAAAATAGCATTTTAAAGGTTTCTGATGGTAGTTAGTTATAGTGAGCATTACCTTTCTAAGCATAGCCAAGCTCTTTGTGCTTTAAGGAAAAACCTTTAGACCAGATCCGATGAATAATAAGCTAATTCAGGGCAAAAATCATTGAATTATACATGAATAGCTCTTGAAGCTGTAGTGTAATGATTGTAGTCTGGTCTTAGATGTGTAATGCTTTTTTAAGTGGCTCGAAGAATGATGAAACTATGATCAGAACAATGTGCTAAAGACAAAAGCAAGGGAAATACTAGGTTTAATGAGGTTACACTGACATAAGACAAGAAAAGGAATGTGGCTAATTGCTCATATAGAGCTGATTGTGCCTCTCAAGTTAGGGGTCAGTGCATTTTGTAATTCTATGATGGGTAGTATGGTATTTAGCAATTTTTTCTAAATCTGTGGTTATTACTGGTATTTCATTCTTAATGGTGGTAACCAGTATACACTGTGCCTATTTTTAAAAAGAAACATCATTTTTGTGGGACAGAGCCTGCAAATGCAGTAAATTGATGACATTTTGTATTAGCTTAGCTCATTAAACTGGTATTTCTGAAAGCTTTGGTCTCCCAGTTCATTGACATAATATTCAGTATTGGAAAAAACCCCAAAATGTAACAAATTAATATGTAAAATGGTTGTCTTTCCAGTGGAGATAGTGGATCAAATTCTGGTTTGATTTGTGACGCTAGTGAGGGTTGATTAAGGATATTAGTGAACCTGGTGTACAGTATCGCTAGATGGTTCAACAGAAAAATAATACAAACAAGTGAAAATAGTTTCAGCAGGAACCTATGAAAAGTATGCACACTCCATAGTATTACAAATACAAACCCAGAGCATCTTTAGATATCAAATACCTTGATAATTCTTTCAAAATTGAGATTCCTGAAAGTATTACAGATACGTAGTGGTGTGGGTTTTTTTGTTTGGTTGGGTTTTTTCCCCCAATATAGGTTTGTGAAGAATTAATAAATAAACCGGATAAAGTGCTTTTTTGGCTGTGCGCAATGAATGGGGCAAAAACAAATCAGGAAGATAAAATGGAACCTTTAAAAAAACCCAGAAAACCATGCAAAGCCAACGGTTAATTCAAAGTGAAATCTGATATGAAAATTCATGAATCATTCTGTGAAAAGTTGTTGTTGGTTGGTTGGTTTTGTTTTTTTTCCTAGCGCTCTTGCACTTAGAGCATATAAGTACATTCTAGGAAAACCCTGCTCTGAACTGCCCTGGTTCACTCACTGCCGTGGTGAAAATGAAGATTTTTGTCACTGAAATCGGGAATCTGGATGTGTTTAAAATGTTCAAATAAACAATGTCTTCCCAGCAATTTTCCTGTTACGTTGTACATTAAATGTATATAGTATGTTGTGTATTCCCTGCTGTCTTTATGAAAGTCAGAAAGCGAATGAGCTGCCCTGACACACAGCGCTTTCTCTGCCAGGATGGCTATTTCATGTTTTGATTTGGTTTGCTGCTTCTGTGTTTCTTTTCTCTCTTTCACGCCTGTCTGTCTGTTTTGATTTGTGCATCCTGTCCCATTTTTATATGTAACAAGCAACTACATTAATGCTGGCTGACTAAGAAAGCAGCACCATTTGTTGGATAAGAAGCATCATTTCTCACTATAACACTTCCTTGCTGACGGGGGGAGGGAAGTTCATGTGTAGAGAAGATTTATCTCGGCTTCCCTGTGCATTAAAGAGAAAGGGTAGGAAGAACAATAAGTAAGTTTCCACCATGAAAAGTCCTGTTATTTCTAGATTTGACAACTGTTTCAGGCTGTACTTTGGCAACACATGAACTTGATTGTGAAGAAGTCATTTTGGCCTCCTGAGGATAGAGATTTATGAAAGTACAGTTCCTGCTACAGTTTTGTAGATTTCATCAAAGTGAATGTAGAGCTTGGTGTGCAAGCACTTGCTTTTAGTGACCTGATCTGGTGT